GGGAAATAAAAAGGAAAAAAAAGGGGGGGGGGGGGGGGGGGATCGGGTTCTGTGGGGTTGGATAGAAAAAAAAAATCAGCGCGAGCACGTTCGTGATAATTCGAAGGAAGCCAACTACGATACGGGCTGAAAGGTCGGTTACAAAGCTGTCCTAGATACACGGCGGTCAACCGGAAACTCGGGCTACCGCCGTTTCGCGTTGTAACACGACCGAGGAAGAAGCCTCGAGCTTCTACGGTTCATACGTATGTACATACGCGTATAGTCGGATAAATATGTACATATATACATACGTATATCGTGGTAGCAAAGTCCGAAAAAAGATGGCGGAGCTTCTCCCGTTTCGTTTTACGCGCTTTTCTCGTTTTCTGCCTCATCTCTTTCTCTCTCTCTCTCTCTCTCTCTCTCTCTCTCTCTCTCTCTCTCTTTCTCTTCCAGCCACGCGCACACGCAGTGAGGCGCGTGCGCGCACACACGCGTACACACAGCCATGCAAACGCACGTACATACTCGCTCTCCTTTGGCACGTTAGCTCGTACGCTACGGTTCTACGTGATCTTTAGCCTATCGTTGCGATAAAAAAATACGAGGAATAAAAATATATCACGTAACAACGTTTCTCCCGTTCGTCGTTTCGGACGAAATCGCGGGAGGAACAACTCGCCGCCAGTAGCCTAAGGCGGCTGGAACATCGATCAACTCTCGATGTTCCACCGAGTCTCCGGAATACGGTGGAACAATGTCCACTTTCTCGTTCCCTTTCTTTCCCTTTCTCTCGAACGCCGAGAGATTCTCGCGGCTAGGCTGCGATTCGCGATGCCTCGACGGAGAAGCCGTAACCTCCGTTTCCCGGCCGCCGCGTTCCGCCCTGATTTTTAAGCGATTTCGAGTTGAACGGTTCGCTATCCGATCCAAGACAGCCATCAGCTGGGTTGCGGAGGCGTCAGCTTGACCAAGAGCCACGTGTACAATTTTGGCTTTTGCTTGTCGACCAGTTCGTACTGAAGATTACTCAGCCCGTCCGTGGCGAACCTTTTCTTCCCCGTCTTTAGATACTCGTACCTGCGCGTACAGAGAAATTCAAGGCCAAAAAAGGATGACGCGTTCCGTACGCGGGATCGTGCCACTCACCTCTTTGGATTCGCCTTCTCCTTTTTGTGCGTGAGCATCTTGTAGCGAGCCACGTTCGCCGGATATCTGGAGATATGAAGACCATGCGCTTTGATCCGATTCGCCATGTCGTCGTCCTCGCCGCCCCAACCCCAAAACACGTTGCTGAATCCGTTTATCAGGCGAAACTGTTCGCGCGATATCGCCGACACGCCGCCGAACAAATCGGCGTACGGTAACCTGTACGGGACAACGACCACGTGTACAGGGGATTTTGCAGGATGAAACGACCCGGTGGAAATAGCTCGCCGTACCTGTATTTGAACTTGTCCACTGCGACGGACATGTGCCTCGGTTGCTCGGGGCACGTGTACAGATTTCTATCGTCTTCGGGAAGTAGGTCGACATCGTGAAAAATGAAACATTCGAAAGGTCGTTCTTTCAAGGCTTCCACGTATCCCACGTTCATGAGCATCGCGCGATTGAAGGCTTCGCTACCTGGAAAAGAAGGGAAATTACTGGATCGATGATCGCGAGGATAACGCTCGAGAGGAGAGAGAGAGCTCCGCGGCCAGAGGACACGACGGGGAAACGAGTGCAGCGCGATCAAAAGTTTCGCGTCTTATCTTTTTATAGGAGACCTCGAGAGGCCTCGAGAAGCTGGAAAAAGTAGGCCGTCAGCCCTATCTTCGGTCAACTCTGCACTCGTTCCACTACCCTTTTCTAGCATCTTGCGGACGTACGCAGGCGTAAAGAGCCACGGAACTTTCGCCTCCTCCTGTTCTCTCGCGTCTCGTGGCAAAGCAAGATCCTCGACTCTCGGGGCTCGAGTGTACCAACGGTGCAACGTTTCCCGAGAAAATCGTCCTCTATCGCGATTCTCGATCACGCGAGACGTTGTTGCTCGATATCTCGGAATTTCGCGAACGCGGGCCGAACGGTATCGACGGTTCCGATATCGCTGTGCGTGGCGCGTGGCGCGTGGCGCGTGGTGCGTGGCGCGTCGTGCGCGCAGCAGACACGCGTAAGTACGATGCACGTCGGGACACGGTGGGTGCATCTAGGTCAACCGAAGAACAACGTAACGCGTGAGATCGCGTTAAAAGGAAAAACGTCGGGTCGTGATTAAAGAGAAGCTATTCTCAAAGGCGAAACTTTTTCCCGATCTCTTATCGTCGGCTCGCGAGCCCTCGGCGACCTAATCGTCTCCGAGTTAGCCCCGATCCCGCGCGATAAAGCTCGAGTTCATCGGCGCGCGTTCGCTATCGCGGGGAACGTCGACGGAATAAAATTCTCCAGACGATTAATACGCTTTTAACGGGAGCTTAATGGAAGCGACCGATGGATATACTCGATTCGGTCGGATCGCGTCGGCGCGAGCAAGACTATTAACGCGATCGGATCTCTTTTTACCGATAGAACGATAGCGACGGTCGCGTTAATGGGCTTGCGCTTCCCTTTGCATCCCAACGACCGACGGAAAATAACGAACCGTGCAACTTTTCTCGACTAACGACCAGAGATAACGATTACGCCTCGCTCTAGACGTAAAGGCAAGCGACGAATGCAAAGATATCGTTGTTTCCTTTCTTCTCGCCGTCCGAGAACAGGAGGCAAGGTCGGGAACGTGAACGCGACTCGCGCGTACCGTAGTACTCTTGCCGAAAACTATCGGCCGCGTAAGAAACGCGAACGAATCGATCGACTCGCATTGCCAATGGAGCCACGAGGAAAGTCGTTTCTAACGATTCCCTAGGAAAGGAAAGAGGCAACGAACGAAGCGATATGAACGGTACCGCGGCGAATCGGTGACAGCCGTGACTAATCGCGTCTGAAAGCAACCGCGAGTCATTCTCGATTCGCGACGAACTCGACGGGTTTCGCGACACGGGATTTCAACGGTGTCGCGCGAACGCGCGTGGATTCCATTGCGGCGCGAACAGCCGCCACGGTCAACCACCGAACTAATTTTCTCGTTTGAACGAAACGAGAGCGCGCACGTTCGCCGCGGACGAGGACGGAAGAGCCGCGGAAAGAGAAGGAAGAGAGGTACGTACGCAGTTGAGTGGCAAAGAGGTGCGGCGGAGTAGGATGAAACCGTGTACGGGTCATTCGAGACGGTTAAAGACGCGCAAAGCGGGTCGTCCGCGCGAGACGGCGCGAGGCGGCGCGAGGCGGCGCGAGAGGAACCGCGCTACCGATACCGCAATGCGGTACGCGGCCTCGGCTATCGCGGTTTGCGCGTCTCCGCGATTAGGTTACGTTTCGGCGTTGCTTGCGTGAAACCTTATCGTCGCGTTTCAAGAGCCAAACACCGAGCGCGTTTACCGAAGATTAGGCGCGCATACCGAGGGATCGGTCGTTGCCACCGCGCGTTTATCGCGCAGGATCTACGATCGCTATCGCGGCGAATCGACGAAACGCAAGAGTATATGCTCACCTTTCTGTTCGACCACGAATATCTGATAGTCGATCTGTTGACGAAGCAGCATCGGGTGAAGATTGTAAAGCAACGCTTGGAGGTGTTGCGGTCGGTCGCGGAACGGAATGACAATCGCGACGCGATGCCTGGCCACGCAGTCGGTCGGACAACCTCTGCCACCCGACTTCACCTCGGTGAACGTCTTCTCGATCACGGCCAACTCCGGGGGTGACTTGCTAACGACCAATGGACCAACTGTAAATAATCGACCGGGTAACGTCGGTTTTTCCCGCGGTTCGCGGAGAAACCCACGACATCCGTGAACGCCGCGCGACGAGACATTGGAGGGAAGACGGACGTGGAAACGGTTTCCTTCCTTCGAGGATATCTCGCGAGGATATCTTCTCGCGAGGAAGGGGCGGACCGCGTCCGAGTACTTTCGCCGAACGAATACTCTTTCTCGACGCTTTCCATTTCCGCTCACCGCTTCGCTTCCTCGTCTCGATCTCGCGAGAACGTTTAACGATCGTTTCGAGTGCCCGGTACTCCGAGGCGGGAGGTAAGACTTACCGAGATTCGGTGGAATGAGCGGGCATCGCGACACCAGTGTGCCGTTTGTCGAGTTTGCGGTCAAAGATTCCTGCGAACTTCCAACGATGTACGTGTTTCGAGGGGAGAAGTCGGTTTCCAGCTTGGAGAAGTTGGAATTGTCTCTGGCACCCCAAAGCAGAGTCGCCGAGGTGGCATTGTTGTTACCGAGTATGCTCGACACCGTTACGGGCCCGTATATGATAAGCCCACGCGGGTGATGCCTGTAGGTACGATCCGCGTACCTGAAACAAAACCAACGTCGCGGCGTTCAGTCGATCGATCGTTCGCTGTTTTATTTCCGAGACCCATCGATTCCGTTTGCGGTAAATCGGGAGCGATTATGGGTGGAATCGGTAACCGATATCTCGGTTAGCAGGCTCCAAAAGCTTCACCGAGGCGAATTCTGATTAAAGATTCGCGTCTCGGCCAACCGGTAATTCGATTACCCCTGAAACGCGTAAAAAAATTTCACGATACCGTCGGAATAACTTCGGAGAAAATTGCGCGTAGATCCCGTCGCTCGCGCGATCCACGATTCCGCGTTTGCTCGCTAATAACGTTCCACCACGATTATTAGGAAGCCGACAGATCCGGTCTAATCGCGACGGTAATTTCACCGAGAAACTCGTTTCTCTTCGCGGTGACGCAACGTCGCGTCGCTTCGTATCGAGAATCTGCCGATCGATCCGGATCGTTTCGCATCGACCCGGCGAACGCGACAAGACGCGAACGAGGCATTTCGGCGGGAAATTAACGGAATTCGAGCGCGATCGTTGGTCGGCTAATTTCGCGGATCTCGTCGAGTTGGCCGTGTCCAACTCCTCGGAAGCTGACTCGGTGAAATTCGCTCGCGCCGCGATTAATCTCGCGATTACGGCAACTTCTCGGATCGACGCTACCGCGGAACTCGACTCGGTGAATCGCGTTGCGCGCGAGTTTTCGCGTCGGAAAACTCGAGATGGAAAAAGTTGCTCGACTCGAAAGGCGAGAGCGCGCGAAGGACAAAGCCGAGCGGACGAGCGGTCGAAGCTTCGCGACGATGCGGGAAATCGACGGGTCGAAGCGATTTCCCGTTTCAGCTCGACTCGAAAATCGTTCGGCAGCGGTAAGCCGTACTGGAATTTCTCGTTGGCTGCGCGCGATCGCGCCAACAATCGCTTGGCGTATGAAATAGTCGAGGTATAATCGAGCGCGTACGTATGCGTCGCGACGCGCAGAGGATGCGCGCGTACCGCATTTGCAAACAGCGGTTACCACCGGTTCCGAGGATACGCTCGAAAATTGACTCCTGCTCGCGTACACCGGCGCGAAAATCGCCAACTCGGCGGACTCGGCGCTCGCCAGCCGCGACCCG